GCCGATCCTGGCAGCCATTGCGCACGCGGGTGTGGCGGGGCGGGGCCCTTGTGACCTGGGCCAGGCGTAGATTGCGCTGGCCTCCCTGCCTGCACGGCTTCTAGAGCACATCACAGGATGCAGGGCCTAATGTCCCCACCTGGTGACCACAGCTCGGGCCTGCACTGGGCCTGTCTCCATGCCCTCGTGTGTGTGTGTGTGTGTGTGTGTGTGTGTGTGTGTGTGTGTGTGACAGGCAGAGAGACAGAGAGATCTTGGCAGGAAGGGAGCCAGTCCATGCCTGTCCACGCCTGTCCACACTGTTCTCAATTCTCTTTCATAAAGGCTATTAACGCAGTGCAGGTTTACTTCCTCAGTGGCGCTTAGGGGCTGAGCTTGGAGTTGGATGGGGCTAAGTTCGAGCCCAGCCCTGGCATTTCTGGTGGGCTGATCCTGGCAAGTTACCCTTAGAGTCTCGCTGTCCTCATCTGCAGGACAGAGGTAGAAATGGCGCCTCCTCTCTGAGGTCAGCTTTATGAACATCTATGGTAATGAAAGCATTTCAAGTCCGAAGGAATTATAAAGTTCTTAAAATTGAGGGAAGTGGACAGTCCAGAAAAAAAAAACTATTTTCAGATTTAAAACGTAACCCATGAGGCCGGGGCTGACCTGTTGAAGGGTCTTGACCAGTGAGATGCGTCCCTGTCAGGCAGATGCTAAGGTCAAGGGTAGAGTTCAGAGGTCACACGGGGAAAGTAGAGCCACCGGAAGGATGGTAGCTTTCTCTTTTCTCTTTCATCTTTTCCCTTCTAAACTATTCCGAAGCAAGGTAGCTTTCCCCGGGGATTGGGAGGAAGCAGTTTTGCCCCCACGGGACATTTGACAATGTCTGGAGATAGTTTTCCTTATCACAGCTAAGAGCCACTGGCCTGTAGGGGGCAGAGGCCAGGGCAGCTGGAAGTACCCTTGGAGAGGGGAGAGCTTGGACAAAAACTCGTTCAAGACTTCTCCGGAGGGCCCACTGTGCCACCTGCTGGCCCTGAATCTGCATTTCTCAGAAGCTCACCCAAGGGACAACTGGTCCTGGATGGCCCTTGGAGCTGGATGGCACTGCCCTGCACTGTGGAACTTCACTGACTAGAGAATTTAAACTGGAAGGAGAAAAATTGTTGCCTTACATTTAGAACACCTTGCTTTTACCATTCTTGGAAAGCTAAAATAGGCTTAACTGTACTCAAGGATTTTTTTTGCAGGAGTGGGGGTGGTATTTATTTTTAAGACAAAGTCTCACTATGTATTTTGGGCTGCCCTTGAACTCCCCATGTAGCCCAGGGTGGCTTTGAACTTGCAGCAATCCTCCTGTCTCAGCCTCCCAAGTGCTGAGGCCATTTTCTTTATTAAAATAACATTGCATGTTTTTCAAACTAACACCAATTAGGCTTTGCCAAGAGATTATTACTCTTTTGAGAAAGAACTGGCTTAGTTGCTATTTTATGTAGCTTATGTATTTATAATGATGAAGTATCATTCTTCTATTGGGTTTATTTTGGAGGAAACAAGATCTATGAATGAAAAGGAAAACAAAAACACACATGAAGAGAAAGATCACCATTTCCTCCTTTTTATAGGAGGAAAAATTTAGAAAGACATGAAATCACCAAGGAGATGCTGCATGCAATGCACTGATTGGAGAAAGAAGCTCTGACTTAGAAGGGGAGGCATCAAAGTTGTAATGGCAGGAGAAATAGAAATCTTTTTAAAATGGCTTGGAAGAAACAGTGCAGATTAGCCAGACTTTGACAAGAGACAGAGAAAAGACAGGAGAGAAGACAAGAGCTATGAAACAGTTTTGTTTATCCCAAGAGTTAGGGAACCCAAGAACATAATGGGAATTTGACAGATGAGTTAAAAATCTTGCTCAGGCTGGGCAAGGTGGCACATGCCTGTAATTCTAGCACTTGGGAGGCTGAGGCAGGAGGATGGCTCTGCATTTGAAGCCCGCCTGGGCTACGTAGCAAGACTCTGTCACAAAACAAACAAAAAAATATTGCTCAGAACTCTACTGTCCACTGTCCACTTTTATTTGGTCTTTTAAGAAACATAATTGCAATCAGAAAAAATATGTGTGGGATTTAGCTCAGTGCCACTGCCCCTGCCTCCCAAGCACAAGGTCCTGAGTTCAATCTCTGGTACAAAAAAACAAAACAAAACAACAAATATATATATATAATATATATACTATATTTTAAAAACATATATTGATATATTATATAACTATATATATTTTGTATATATGTTTCATATATATATATATATGAAAGAAGTCAACAAAAATTGAGACAGCGGCTGGGGATTTAGCTCAGTGGTTTCGCTGCCTGCTGCGCAAGTGCAAGGACCCGAGTTCGATCCCCAGTACCCCCCCCCCCAAAAAAAATTGAGACAGGGCAGTACATTTGGAAGTTATGTTTTTCTTGTAAGATAGTCCTTTGCTGAGTTTGGAAGGAAATTGTGCTGTAGGCTAAGAATGGTCCAATGAAAAGGAATACTCTTAGCTATATATAAAGGGTTCATTTGAGTTTATGCATACAAAAAGTGCCCCTTGATCACATGCTCTGTAAACACTCCCAACTTTGGCCAAGACCACTATTAGGAAATAAACCATCCTTTTCCTGGCATTCTGGAGGGGCTGTACCAATGAAGATGTTGTAAAATTAGTATCTTTTTCAGCAGATGTGTCAGAAAGCCTTATAGTTTTATACTTGTAGCTGAATTTTTAGGTAGAGAAATTTAGAGAAATACTGAGGGTAGGAAACACTTAATATAATCCAAATCCAAATAGACGGGACTATGAAAGCAGTAGTAGAGATTCAGAATCCAAATGCATTTCAAAGTGAGTAAAAAGAGGAAGTAACAGAACGAAGCTGATAGATAACTTTTAAGAAACATGAGGAAGTTGGATATTTGTAAAGGAAATATGTATGATGAGGAATATAATAAAGTATTCACATTTAAGAAAAATTCTGTGATGGGCTCAGTTTTTTCTTTTTTGTCAACCTCTGCCAACTAACTGTATCTGCTATGAACCTGTAGGCTGAGGAGATTCCCAAAGGACAGCTCAGCTCGGTCAGAAAGGTCTGGGATGAAGCAGCAGTGCCAAAGCATGGGAGTGGAGTGGGTGTTCTCAGGACTGCTCAGAGCTGGGTGTGAAATGGAGCTGGGCTCGACCACAAATACAGATTTGGGAAGAAATTCAGAGAAGTACAGTATCATAGGAACGTGGGGAGGAGAAAAGGCCGTGATGAAGGTTGGCGTCAACATCATTACATTCTACAATGAAGACGAGAATAAGGTTATGAGGTTAACACTGTGGGAAAGATTTTGTTGTTTCAGGAAACGATAATGTGAATCACAGTGAGGAATTATAGTTAATTTTTATGTATCATACAATTAAAGAATTATTATTATTGTTATTATTGTTATTTTGGTACCAGGGATCGAACTCAGGACCCTGCACTTGCGAGGCAGGTGTGGTGCCACTGAGCTAAATTCCCAGCCCACAATTAAAGAATTATTAAATCACCTCAGCCTCCACGTTCTGTGATATTATTAAAATCAGCTCATTAGTCTGATAACAAACTTCAGGAGAAAAAAAGTACTCTAAATTTTAATTCTTTAATTAAATAAGAGTGTTTTCGGGGCCAGGGATTTAGCTCAGTGGTTCTGCTACCTGCCTTGCAAGCACAAGGTTCTGAGTTCGATCCCTGGTACCAAAAAAGAAAAAAAAAGTGTTTTCTAAGCTTGTTGCTTTAAAATTATTTAGAGCACATGTGACCGTAATGTCGAGATTATATTATTGTTTTCTAACATTAACGGAAGTTAAAAAAATTAATGGAAGTTCACATTAAGTAACTCAAATTTGACTGTAGAACTTTCTTAGATGCAACATTACACAGATACAGGTATGTGTTCTTGTGGTCTGTAATTAGTGCAGAAGTAATTTGCCAAAGTGAAGAAGAAAATGCCCAGGTCTACCACCTGCTGACTTACAAACACACCTTACAAACAGCTCATTCCTCTACAGTGGTGTGAGCTGGTTGTCAGACACCTTCAGAAAATTAAGAGTCCGGAGTTGCAAGTGCACTCCGGCCCTTTAATGCCATGGTCATTCCAACTCCTTCCTCCCCAGGCAGAACCCAAAGGCAGAAGGGAAGGCTGGAGTTCTGGCAGTTGAAAGCGTCATGGAAGACAAGCAAGCAGGACCCCAGGTACAAGACCAGAGCACTTGGAGAGAGGAAGAGACGTTAAATTGACCAGGGTTTGGAAGGAGGAGATTTATAAGAAGATTATGTTAAAGTGGCAGAATATTTTTTTCAGAATATTTTTATTTAAAACTTAAAAAACCAACAAGAAGAGATTTGTTAAGAGAAAAAAAACAAAGTTCCCAAAGAGTTTACTGTTATTATCCAAGCAAGACTATCAACTTTTAGTGCCCCAAACAAAGTTTAAATATGCTAATTAGGCATAGAGTGCCCCAGATTTTTAAATTATATAGACCAGCTAAATCTATAAAAGAAATTGGAAGATTTCTCAGATAATATTTTTTAGAACCTTGAAAATCTTTCTTTCTTTCTTTCTTTTCTTTTTTTTCATTCTCTTTTTAACCTTGAAAATCTTGTTTTGTCTTGGTTTTTTTTGTTTGTTTTGGGGCAGGGTCTCCTTTTGTAGTTCAGGAACTCACTATGTAGCCCAGGCTGGCCTTGAACTCGAGGCAATCCTCCTGCCTCAGCCTTCTGAGTGCTGAGAAACTTGAAAATCTTTAATGACCACTACATTACATTTGGAGAGTTTTCTTAGGATATTAAAGTAATTTCATTGTTAACCTGCAAACAATCTCTATAGTTTGTCTTGCTTTAACATTCCTTTCAATGACATTTATTGATAATACTGGGAAGGGATATTTGCTATTCGGTAACATGTGACAAAATGTTATCTACTCTTTTTTGTCAGAAGGAAAAAAAATAAGAATCCATCAGTCAAGAACTATCCTGAAAATGTAATTATTGTGATTGCTAAAAACTAGAATCATCTAAAGAATCAATAAGCATGGCCTTTGTGGCCCATAATTGGAGGAACAGCAAAAGAGCTTTTCCACTGGAAACTCTTCTGATGCCACAGGTCCCCCGTGGCAATTACTTGCACCTTCTGGAAGAGAAACAAAGACTGCAGCTAAAGAAATTTCTCCTTCATAGGATGTTTCTGGTGGCCAACATACAAGCGAACATGGAGAAAAGAGAAATTGCTGAGTACTACGATCAATTGTTTCAGTCGATCTTGAAACATCACATAGGAGAAGAAGTGACAGGGTTATTGCTCATCTACCCCACTTCCATGCTGCATATCCTTGAATCCTCCAACGGAACTCTTCACCAAATCCTTTTAGATTATTTTAACCATCAAAGGGACGAAACTGAATTTTGGGTTCAAAAAATGAAAATTATAGTCATTTCTCATAACATCCCAACAAGACTCTTCATGCATTGGTATGTTTCAGTAGTAAAAGTGCCAGTCTTGTATCTCGACGATGTGACACAGTCACAGTCTCTCGAAGAGGTCATCATGGATTTTTTCATCCAGACTCATAAGCTGGCACTCTACCTTTTTAAGACTGTTAAAGTGGGCTCTAAAGGACTAGGTGATACCTTGCACCAGACTGCACCTGACCTGCTCCCCCCAGAACAAATCATAAAGTATCTGTGCAAATCTGAAGAATTCATGGACCCAGCAACATTCGTAAACATGTACAACAAACCCATGCATGTCACCTTGGACTCCGAGCTGGTGTGGCCCGCTCCCTCCAGCTTCTAGGATCAAAAGAGATAATATCGGGGCCAGGGATTTAGCTCAGTAGTTTCACTGCCTGCTGCACAAGCGCAAGGACACGAGTTTGATCCCTGGTACCAAAAAAAAAAAAGAAGAGATAATGTCATCAGGTCTCAAGGAATTTGTGCTACCTAAATAGAACTATTCCTAACATTACTCTTCTTTTAAAAAAAGGACACTACAATATACACAAAGGTACTCTGTTCATCTTTATGAAATATGTATCTATTTGTTTTGATAGAGAGCTCAATACATTATTTTAAGGTGGATGGGTCTAATAAAATCACAATAAGTTTTACTATTTTTCATAGAACAACTCAATTTTTAAAGACAAGGATAGATGAAAAAGGACAAACACAATTTAGATTTTCATGTTTGTTTATTTGCTTTTTGAGTCAGGATCTCACTATGTAGTTCAGGCTGGCCTTGAACTCACTATGTAGCCCAGGCTGGCTTCAAACTCTCGGCAATCCTTTTGCCTCAGCCTCCTGAGTGCTGGAATTACAGATGTACACCACCATGCCCTGCTCTTTCTTTTTTTTTGTTTGTTTTGGTACCAGGGATTGAATTCAGGACCTTCTGCTTGTGAGGCAGGCAGTGGAACCACTGAGCTAAATCCCTGGCCCCTCATTAATTCTTTCAACAGTTACTAAGCAGCCTCTGCCACATAGCAGAAGTATCGTACAGTAGTCTGGGTGGGAAACTATTGGAGGTACAATCCAACAAATGATATCATATAATGTGAACAAATGGATTATTACAATAGAAGTACACTTACTACTTAAGGGAGGAAATGCTGTGCAATTTGAACATTCAGAAAACAAAACCTAACTTGAAAAGTGTTCCAAAGCTGACATATTCTGGCCTATATAACCCACAATATTGAGGCCATTATAAAGTTAAAGAACACAATAACTTTTTGAAATGACTAGAAAATACATTATCAGGTATTACCATATTCCTTTATGTAACATTATGGAGTACTCCCCCCTCTGACAGATATTTGCTAGGCACGAGGGGTGATAGTTGGGTACATGGAAGACATTCTTCCTCCCTATTTTAAAAGCTTATTTCTAAATTAGTCCATGTAAGATAAACAAATTACGCAGTTACCTTCTTGATTCACTTCCTGTAAGGTAATTTTTCAGAAAATGACTAATAAATGGCTATTGGATCAGATAGAATTTCTTTAGCAGGATGAATTACATTTGAAAACTGTTTTCTAAAGTTACCTAGTGGGGCAAGCGCAAGGACCCAAGTTCAATCCCCAGTACCAAAAACAAAACAAAAACAAATAAAGTTACCTAGTGGGGCCAGGGATTTAGCTCAGTGGTGCCACAGCCTGCCTCACAAGCGCAAGGTCCTGAGTTTCATCCCCATTACCAAATAAATAAATAAATAAATAAATAAATAAATAAATAAAGTTATCTAGCAAATAAAAGTGCAGTTTATGAATAAAAATCTATATTAATATGTAGGAAATTATGGCACTTTGTATTTTCCAAGCTGGCCATTCCAATATCTCCAATCCCACATGCCCTTCACATTACTGCTATTTCCTTTCATATGTTGGCTGCTAAATTCCTCCCCTTTAAAATCACACTGGCTTTGGGACTGCCTGGCTCAACAGAGTACAGCAGGAATGATTCCACATGACCTACAAGGCTGAGTCCTAAAACACCATGAATGTGGCTCTGCTTGCTTAAATGCAAACACTGCTCTAAACAATCTGAGCAGTTTTGAGGTGACATTCCAGGTCCCAACCAACTGCCACCCACTTCAGGTGACTCCAGACGCTGGCCTTCCAGTTCACCCTGGATTTCAAGTCAACCCAGCTGACACTGTGTGAGGTACAGACAAGCTCTTTCCACTGAATCCTGCTGGAATTACTGATCTCTGAACAACAAAAGTGGCTTGATTCAAGTCATTAAGCTTTGGGTGATTCTACAGCAGTCTGGAATAGTACTACACATGCATGTAAACTATTTTCATCACTTCTTATTCATTCCATTCTTTATGTACCTAATACTCATTGGGCAGCTGTTAATAATTATTTACCAGTGGACCAATCACTGTGCTAGTCACTCGATACACAAGCAGCAGAACTGCCTAAGGTAAATCTTTTGTTGGTCTGCAATAATTGCTGGTATTAGCAATGCTGGTAGAAAATGAATTTGTTAAGCCAAAGAAAATCATTAAAAATCAGAATCTTTTTTGGAGGAAGTTATGGAAACTATCTAAATGGTTGCTGATTTACTTTACACACTGTAATTTTTAATTTAAAGAATTCATGAAGTCTCAGCTACGAAAATAACTAGAACTAAAGTGACTATAAACAAGTGATGCAACTTATTTTGTTGTTTACTCAATTCAGTAAACACACTAGAATGAATCTATTCAAATGAAATTACTCCTTAGAATCATCACTTTAGGAGGATTTACATTTATCACAGTGATAAAACCATCACTATAATCATTTGTGACTCATTTATGGCAGCTGCATGAAGGAAATTTATAACCTAAAGGATCTTAAATATTTTAGTTGTATCTAATGTTTGATCACCAAATAGTATATACTCCAACTTAATTAGTAACGTTAACATTCAATCTTCATTTGTAGAGATATTTGTTTGCAAATATCATACTCACTCTCAAAGGAACATCTACTGTCACTGAACATATTAAAAAGAGTACGACACTGGCCCTAAGAAGCACAAATTCTTTTTGCTTTTGCATTATTGAGATACTTATGTAGCTCACTAAAACCATGTTTAAAGGACACTCATTTAGCTATGTATACCTTGAGTGGATTTGATATAGTTCAGAATTCTATGTTCATTCATACCTTACAAGTATTATTTAGTTTGATGAAGTCCAAAGATGTGAATCATTAAAACTTAGAAAGACTCATCAGGTAATTTCCTTTTCTTTTTTTTTGTTACCTGGGATGGAACTCAGGACCTTGCTATTGTGAGGCAGGTGCAGCTCCACTAAGCTAAATCCCTGGCCCTCATCAGGTAATCTTCAACACAATGAAAGTTAATGATAAAACTTCAGATAAAGCCAGAGAATAGAAGTTAATGCAAAGAGAAAAACAAATATTTACCACTGTGAACACACAACATGCAGCAGCCACATGACCATGAGCATATAACACTATATACATTCATCCATATAGAATGCTCAAATAACGCAGCCAGCTCTGTACTGACCCTTTGGCTTGTCTGTGAATGCTGGACCATGGACTGTCCTGGTGTTGGCCTGTGCTTATTTCAGAGCTGACTAAAGACTTTCAGGAAGCTGATAGATTGCACGAAGAATAGCTGAAATAATATTTGAATGAAAATCTTCTCCCAGGGTGAATTCTAAAATTCTGCTATCTTCATTTTATAAGAAGAAACATCTGGATTTTTTCATCAATTATTGTTTAACCCAAATAGATTTTGACATCCAATAACTTTATTACAACTGTAGCACTACAAAACCACATTTCAATGAATTAAACCTACCTTTAGCAGTAGGGTAGCCTTAGTTTCTCCAAGGGTGTAGAAATGAGACAGCCTATCACCAACTTCATGTAGCAAAATACTTTTAGATTATTTCATATTGTATTAAATGTAGAATTAGAGTCCTCCCCCTTGTGGTCAATTATTTAAATTTCCAGATTACCTGCTGATAGGATTGATACAATATACAGTGCATTCCATCCCTGGTACCAAAAAAGAAAAGTAGGGAAAAAAATTTGGGCCCAGGATTTAGCTCAGTGGTTCTGACTCCTGCCTCACAAGCGCAGCGTCCTGAGTTCAATCCCTGGTACCAAAAAATATATATATATGTACTTATATATACAGTGCATAGATTTTAAGAAAATACAGATAGAACCCCCCAAATACCTTTCATATATCTAATTTACCCGCCTTGTTCTGCAGATAAAAAATCTGAGACCTAAAGACATTAAGATGTTTTGCCAAAAGTAAACATTGATAACCAAAGTCCCATTTTACTTCACCATATTCATCATACAAATCTTGATTGCTTTTTTCTTTTTTTGGTACCAGGGATCAAACTGGGGACCTAGCGCTTTCAGGGCATGTGGCAGAACCACTGAGCTAAATCCCCAGCCCTAAAAACCCAATGATTTTGTTTTCTTTTGTACGGGGGACCAAACCCCGGACCTTGTGCTTGCAAGACAGGCAGTGGAACAACTGAGCTAAATCCCCGGCTCCAACTCTTGATTCCTCTAAAGTAAGCTACTTTTAAAAAATTGCTTCTATGAACTTGCTTTTTCACATATTTTAGAATTTTTAAATTTTATTATTGGTACTCTTTAAAGCCAAGAAAAATTTTATATCAGCTGGCCCAATGTTTACTTGGGGTATAAAGAAGGAATCCTGGAATCCTTATCACCATTCTCTGGGTTTTAGGATATTTTGAAAAACCAAGTTCAAGACTCTTTTTTTTTGGCACCGGGGATTGAACTCAGGACTTTGCATTTACGAGGCAGGTGCTGGAACCACTGAATTAAATCCCCAGCCCTCAAGACTTATTATTTGATTATTTGTCTTATTGTTAATTCCAAGCACTGGCTGAACTCTAGAATCATTAAAAATACTCTTTGCTAGTATGTTCCTATATGTGCATAAACTTGAAAAAGATTTTCCTTATGATTCAGATCAAATATATTTAATTTGACCAAAAGTAGCAATAAAGTTAAAGCAAAAGGGGGATCCTTTTTTTTTTTTGGTACAGGGGATCGAAGTCAGGACCTTGTGCTTTCGAGCCAGGTGGTGGAACCACTGAGCTAAATCCCTGGCTTGAGATCCATTTTTAGCTAATGTGAATATTTAAAGAATCAGTTTTCAGTCAAAAAAAACTGTGTACATGCAGTGGTCAGGAAAGGCTTCTCAAAGGAAGTAAGTTACCTCCAAATTGAGGCCTGCATGAGAAGCATCATCCATGTCAAGATGTGACAGTAGAGGTCAGAATATTCTAGAATAGGGAGCAGTCTGGTGTGTTTGAAAGACAGAAGGACCAGAGGGGCTGGGGTGTTGAGTGACGAAGACTATAGAGTTGGAGGGAGTGGCCAGGGATCTAAGGTGTGGGGCTTTATGGTCCTGGCTAGGAGTGTAGACTTAATTCTGTTTTACCTAACGACTATAGCAGACCCTCTTGTGCTTTAGTTTTTGTGTAGGGCTCTCGAGAAGCCTGTATGCCACAGGAGTCTCCATCTCCACATGCTGTAGCAACCATGTCAAACCCGCAGCCTGCAGGATGCTGGCCTTTTGTGTTTGTTTGGTTCTTTTTTGGTACTGAGGATTGAACTCAGCACCTTGCGCTTGTGGGGCAGACCACTGAGCTAAATCCCTGGCCTTGTTTTTTGTTTTTAATGTTATGACAAAAATGTTTTTAATTTTGCTTTTTCTTTCTTTTGGTACCAGAGATTGAACCTGGGACCTTGTGCTTGCAAGGTAGGTGGCAGAACCACTGAGCTAAATCCCTGGCCCTGGAATTAAAAAAATTTGTATATTCAGTGCTTCATCAAAAATATATGTCTCCCCAGCCCCTATCCTTTTATTACATTATTGAGTCTTAAAAAATAAATCTTAGGTGAATATG